TCCGATGTAGTCCGTGGAGCTCATTGGCACTCGGTGCGCTATTGATATTTTATATAGACGGGTGATGACAGCGGTACGGAAAATGAATTTCACCGACATACAGAGTTGAAAGTGATGCTGTAGTTCCATGAGAAGCAGTTCTAAAGTTCTGCCTAGTGACAGAGCAAGTCTTAGCATTATATTGAGCACCTTTTCACGGCAGACGCGGCAAATTGCCTAACAGTCAAATGCTGAAAAGGAACAGAAAACTTTGGTCAGATGCTCATCGTTCAGACTCGCGTTCCCATCACGATGGCTTATCTTATCATGCTTATTAGTTCTTCATTTAAGGACATGTCGACACTTGCGACTTTCACAACACGAACGCCGATGCGTGCTTGCTGAGACGTGGCTCTCTTTGCGGGAGCAGAAGAGGCGAGTGACAAAACTTCAGGGTTTTGCCTGTCGTAATGTGTGACATTAAATGTGATGTCTGCGTACCGAAAAAGAGCTCAGTTCTGGGACCCGGCGTAAAATACGTACACTATACTAAAAGATGGTACAGTTGGGAAGAATGTGAAGAAAACGATACTTTTCTACCAGCGGCTGAACCAACAAGTCGAGTTCACAACGCAGCATCAATGTTTTAACGCTTGACATCGATTGTTTTTGGCAACTCGCCTTCCACTCGGTCAGTTTACAGAAGACTTTCGGTTTGCTGCCCGAATGTGATGCTCTTGTGGAGCGGCAAAACGTTGGGCGAACGACGCGACAATCTTCTGCGCTGTTCTGAGAGTACAAAAACTAAGCTGGTTGTGGAAGAGAGGAGCAGTTCTTCAGAGTCATAAACTTACGGTTGATAGTTCAGACACACACAAAAAAAAAAAAAAAAGCATTTTATTCACCGGAGAAGTCCTAAGATACAACACGCACCAACATCGTAACGTTTGTCTTTCCGACACGGACGTCAGGATGCTGCACAGCCATATGGAGGCGACATCTGTCCTCAAATACAATAAAAGGCACAACTGAAGAAGGAGCCACAGTGAAACGGAGAAATGCTTAATTGCTTTCAGCCTCCGATGTATTGTTTCTTCGATTTTTTTTTTTCCAATGTCCTGTCATTGATAAAATCACTGATCTAAGCATTCAGCTTTTGCTAAAACGTACGCAGAGAAAGCGGAATGTTTTCTGTTGAATGCTTCCAGTGCCGTCCGCTGAAATCTTGGACCACTGCTTGAACACAAAAGTATCGTAATGTGTCGGAATTTCACTCGTACCACTTTTCAGTTGATGCTTTGTAGCAGTTAACCAGTTTCCTTATATCGATTTGTCAGAGTAGTTTCTGCAATTTCTATATCCTGTACCATATCCTTGTCATCAGACTTGACAATCCACCCCCGCTCTGGTTAGAGCAAGTACTTAATCATTTATCTAATACACTCCAAAGACCCCCTTTACTTCTCGGTCACGTCATTTTCAGTCTTTTCTCGTCGCTACTTGAACGATCTTAAAGTGTGAGGAACCAATGTGAGCCATTGCATCGTCGGGAATGATGAAGGCCACAACATCAACAGCGGCCCTTGTGTTCTCTGCCCGGCAGGGGCCCCACACTGCTGCCTTTGTGTCCAGCGGGACGGGTCAACGCTCGCTCACAACTTGCGCGCTCATTTTATCACGACCCCTAATGCTGCGTGAAGTTTGGGGGGGTCGTGGGGGTGGGTGTGTGGGGATGCTGATGCAATTAACGGGCAGTGCTTAAAGATAAGAGGAAAATGATTATGGAATGATGACCTCGTTTCTCCAGAAGACAAGTCGACGACTTGTGAACAGCATGAGACGTCGTCGTCGGGGGGGCGCATGACGAATTATTGAGACGTTGACATTTTTTGTGGTGATGTATTCATAACGCCAGGTGGCACATGAAATTAGGTGTGTTAAGTACGGCGCCACGGGAAATATAAGAATGATCATTTAAAATAATTTGTCACTCAAACGGCCCTAAACCTGTTGTTATGTACAACAATTGGCCCATATGAAAGGGTCTTTTTGTTGTTGTTGTCGTCCCCTCTCCCCAAATATGCAGCTTTGATGCAAACTAGAGGGATGGAGCTAATTCAGCAAAGGACACGCTATTGGTCCTGCTGTCACACTTTTGCCATCACACATTTTTGGCACAGAAAGCCAAACATCTGCCAATCACGCCTTGAGTAGAATTGCGACTTCGCATCACATTAGAGACTGCTCACTCTTTATCAAGCCCCAGCGCGCTCACTAAATGTCCATTTCCTTCAGTTATGACTCCCTTAATAAATGAGCCCAGTCCTTCAGGAAGCCTTCATATGATGTCATTAAAGCACACGCGCCCATGCAATTGTTGGGAGGCTGTTACTTCCACCTCACAAATGAATGAAATATTGAAACCGTACCAGTCAGCGTTGCACTTGTACTTTGCTCTCTTAGTACACGATTACTGAAAAAGTCACAGCAAAGTACACTCTTGAAAATGGGCATCTGACCAAATTTCCTGAATCACCTGTGGAGAAATGTAACCATTGTTTTGAAAATGTAATTGCTGTACTTATTTCTTTTCAAGCAATTGAACGTGAATTAGAGCTTGTGTTGTGTGTGGTTTTCTCGAGATTAGATATCAAGAATTAGAGCTTGTGTTGTGTGTGGTTTTCTCGAGACAGGAAGAGGCTGAATCATCAGCGTGTCTAAAAGTTGCAGCAAAGTTGTGCTTCAAAACCTGATGAGGAAATTGCAGACAATCATTTTTACCTATTAATTATTCAGCCTTCCCAGTCTTAGGTTATAACACTAGTCAACAAGGTTATAACACTAGTCAACACATTTTAGATGACTAGTCAAGTCGATTTTTTTTTTTTTGTGCTTCTTCCGAATCGGCCCTTGTTTTTTTTTTTTTTTTCTTTTTCTCTAGCACATCAGGTGATAATATTTAATAAATAACAATCATGAGTTACGGGTTAGGTTCAGCACCAGGTGGGATTTTTTTTTTTTCTGATGCGTCATGGCTATAAATTACAACACATGGTAAAATCCGTATTGCGCAAGCTTTTTGGCCAAACTCTTGAAAAAAAGCAAATATCTCAAAAAAGATGTGCTACAAAAAAAGTAAAGCCGTTTAGTTTTTTTAAATCGGCGTCAAAGACGTTGACGGACATCAAAAGAATTTCCGATGAAAAATTTCTGTTGGCCAGCGGAACACATTGAAAGCAACATGGCTGCATGCGCCACATTTCAACACTCATTGAACTAATAATGCAGGTGGGTTAACCAGCCAACAGCTATTTTTCACTGTTATCTTGTCCTGCGTACCTGCATGTGCACATATTTAGAAAAATCCTCAAAAGAAAAATAATCAATTACAAGCAGAATTGTAGGCGGCTGCGCTCGAGCAACGTAGCTCTTTTTCCCGTATGCACAATAACACAAGATGCTTGGCTTCGTGTCCATCTGCTGTTAAACTGAAGAATAAACTTAATATTTCCATTCACCCAGCCGGCATTTTATTTATTACCTATTTTCACCGTTTAAAAAAAAATTGACAGTTTTCGTTCCGTTGCCACTGAAGGGATGCTGCCAGTCGCATGGAACGCTTCTTCGCCACCTGCTAAACAAAATGGCCGTCTGTCTGTTTCGCAAACGGATGAATGTGTCAATCTGATTGGCACTTGCGAAATTATCAGCAAGCAGACTGTACGTGTACATTCGGTGACCGCAGCATTGGGTACCCCACTACACATGCATCTCACCCCCACAAAAATGGTATCAACAATAAAGAGGGTCAATTTTGATTGTCACTGCCACAGAGGAATTAGTTCAGAATGGCGTGTTTGTTCCACTTTTGTTTGTCTTTGGAAGCTCGAAATATCGATCGAAGCAGCCATCACTTTATGATGATGCAGTGCAATTCTCCACCGCCATCAAACAACCACAATCGTAAACATCGAACATCATATTATATTACCTCATTGACTATGTCTTGAGCATCGACTGATACATTGATGCCGCTCTCTACCGGATCTCTTAAGATGGGACTCACTGAAGTCGGTGACTTGGTCCCAAATGACATCCACACATTTCTAATAAAATCCATGTGACGTTGGTAAAAAGTGCATGTATTTCTAGGCAGGCAGGCAGGCATGTTGTGGTCCTTATATCGGAGTCGGAGCTCCTATTCCATTTAGAAATTTGAGCTGCCAGCTGTATGTGTTAAGCGTCCTGGCCCATTGCTACCCAGAGGCTTCCCTGTGGATGTGCGTGCGTGCTACTCGCTGCCTCGTAGGGTACATTGAGGGACTTTACCCCCAGGCCAGTGCACCCTCATGTGTGTGTGCATACTTGCGTGCTAGCATGTGTGTGTGTGTCGTGTTGGATTCCCTGTGGCAGATGATTCTCTCTCTCTCTCTCTCTCTCTCGTCGCCTAGGGGGCCACTGCGCCCTCATGCGTGTGTGCATACGTGCGTGCTAGCATGTGTGTGTGTGTGTGTGTGTGTGTGTGTCATGTTGGATTCCCTGTGGCAGATGATCTCTCTCTCTCTCGTCGCCTAGGGCTGCGAGAGTAAACATAGCAGAGGGTAGGACAAGCCCCGTCAGTCCAAGGCATCGCCATTAAAATAAAAAATGGTGAAGTGGCTTTTCGGAATGAAAAGAGCACAATGAGGATGGTTGCTAATTTGTGGCCGGGGACTTTCCACCGTGAATTAAGATGGGCCAAAATGTGCGTTTTTAAATTCATACTGTAGTGTCAGCTGGGTGGAACTCTCGTGGCTATCCAGTGAGCAGGATGGAAATGAGAGCACGGCACTAGAATAAGGGTAGACAGACGTTCCAGATGTGGGACGGCCTCTCAGGTCAACATTTCCCGTCTAACAGGAGCGTATTTTTAGCTAGAATAAGGGTAGACGTTCCAGATGTGGGACGGCCTCTCGGGTCAACATTTCCCGTCTAACAGGAGCGTATTTTTAAAGCTTTGCCTGTTTTTGTTCTCTTTGCAGGTGCTGGGGAGTCTGGAAAGAGCACCATTGTGAAGCAGATGAAGTGAGTACCTTGAACTTTTATTCCCCCCCCAAAAAAAAAAAATCTGACAAGCAATGACACAATTTAAATGTATTCCTCGATACTTGAGAATTTCTATATTTAGTTGGATCACACTTCAAGTCACGGCCACACAAGGACTGACTGCTTAAAAAAAATAAAGGGAAGAAATAAATGAATATGCGCTAACAGAAATAAATCCCCGTTGTCACTCGTGAACGGAGGTGAGATTTTAGATTTGAATTGATTAGGATTTTGCAGTTCCGATTCCATCATCGGTGCTGCTTATCCACCTTATTCCTTATTAATCCTCTTACCGATTCTCATCGTGTGAAGGGAATGAAATAATATAAATTGGTGTGTTTGCATTAATTTATTGACATAACGGTATTCAACTTTGATCAGAGGAGACACCATATCCAGTTTGTATCTGTAATGTAGCTGACAAGATATCAGTGCTTAAGAAAGTTTTCCAGTTTCACGGTTATTGGACCAGAGAAAATTGAATATTTGGTTTTTCAAGCCCAACTCTACAACAACTTGAAACATTTCTGCCAGGGTATCAGATCTCTTTAATTCACTGGGTATAGATGATCATTTTTTTTTTCACTTCAGGTTTTGCAAGCTGCTTTTACATTCAACTTGATCCAAAACCGGTTTGGCCATAAAACAACTCATTAGCGGCGAGCGCAAAAACCACGACTCAAGTTGTTGTTTTTTTTTTTAATGGGAGGAAGCTGGAGTAACCAAACCAAAGGCCTCACAAGCACAAAGAGAGCATGCAAACTTATCCCAGGATAGTAGAAATCTGGATCCGAACACAATTATGGATCAACTTGCTAACAGTCAAATCGCCCTGCTGCCCTGACCAAAGTATCCCGGTTGAAAATCTTGTGATTACGTAGCACAATTGGTTGAGCACAAATGGAACCTCTAACTGTTTCTGTTGCTTGTCCTCTGGGCTCTCTCCTGGTGTCCTGGCCTGTCTCCCGGTATCTCCTCCACACACCGTATCCTGCTTGAACAACTGTGAGCTTGAGATACCACCTCAAACCCCGTGCGGCACTGGAATTGTGCAAAACCCAGCCAGCCCATGTGGAAGGGGATTTATGACACAGTACAGAAAAGTTTTGGTCTTATAGGTTCAATTTAGACTGGAATGAAGGCAAATGAAACATGAATATATTAATATGCAAGGCGAGCAGTTAATTTATCTACTTCAGAGTTGTAGAACAAATGCGCAAATATGGCCATTGCAAGTTTTGTCTGGAGATTGGACTCCTCCCCCCCGAGGCTCATGCCAAGGAATGTTCCTGCTATGATAATTGCATTCTTGACTGCTCATAAATTAGGTAATTTATAGTTTAGGGCAGTCATTTGAAGCGTAGTAAAATAGATATTATATAATCCGGGTTGAGTCTAAACAGTTTTCACGTCAACAATTAAACCTGCTGATTACGTGTCGCCACTTTCTGCAGCCTGTAATTGACTCAGTGGGCGAGCTCTGTTTGTCACGGGGGAAATTGTTGGATCCACTTATGACAAATGAACGGAACAAATTTTAACTGCATTTTGGGCGGCTGCGATTACAATCCAGTTATGGTGAATTCAGCCAAATTTTGACATGCTTGTCTGAAGATATGCTGCAACGTTGAGTGATCGAGCGCGTCCGATAAATTGCGCTTGATTTTCTTTTGGTTTTTGCACCATTTGGTCAATCAATCACGAAAGCCGTTTGCTGCAGCGCAAGCAAGGATGTCCAAGGACTCGCTTCCGTCGATGGTGGGGGGAAAAATACATTAAAATATTCTCGAATGCAACCGTGTGACAGTTAATCCTCGGTGCGGTTGGCGTTCTAAATTGCGCCCCTGACATGACGGCGGCTTCGCAGCGTGTGTCACAATCAAACCAATCATAGCTCCACTTTTCAAAGTATTGTTTGGTTGAAGAGTAAATAGAGGGCGGGGGGAGCGGGGGGGGGGGGATTTCAATCTTCGAAACTGACTTGCCGCTTCTCAGCGGGCTCACTTGCATTTTAACGAGGTTTCATTTCGTGCATCGCTCGCTATTGAGCGTTCTGGGTGTGCCACCGGTCTCTGGGCCCTCACAAACCCGTTGGAGATGTTTATTGAAGCGGTGCGGCTTAGCATCTCCTCTTTGCTGTCAGTCTCCTCACCTGTGCTAGCAACGCAGCTCATGTTTATTTCAGGCCTTCATGTCAGAACACCTCCACCTTTTTTTTATTTTTAAATACGGTGGTGCCTTGAAATACGAGTTAGATTTGTGCGGTGACATGCTCGTAATCTGTTGCAGTCTCGATAATATTGTACTTCATCAAAACACACAGCGATGACATCTTGATTCGAATGTAAAGCATGAGTATGGAGTATCTCCAAAAAAAAAAAAAAAAGTCAGGTCACTTGTAGCTAAAGGCGCCGCTCTCTTATGACATCATTGAGAGACATCAAATATTTTCCTTCCATGCTGTTTTTGATAATTGCACTTTGCAGTTCACAATTTTAACATGCACATTTGCAAACATTCATCGCATTGAGATTGAGCTTGGAGCTTCGTCACAATCGATCCGTGAGAATTCTGTCGATGGCTTGTGGACTAACCGTGTCTGCGGGCAATGGTGGCAAAATGGAGTGCACGACTCTGCTTTAACCCTCAGATGAGACGTTGAATTGAGTCAGTCTCAACATGACATCTACGCAGATATCTGCTGCGGCAACTCCTCCGAGCAGCAATACTTTTGCTTAAAACAACACTGGCAATGGGAACAGTAATTCACAAGATTCAGACCGACTTTTCCACCCCATGAACTTATTTCACCCAACATCGATCAAGGAAATGTAGTCAAATGCCCGCCCCTTGGAAAAACTGCTTCCTCTGATGATTAGAATCCGCACATCTCTTGCTCATGTTCCAATTTCTAATTGTAACAAAGCAAGCGCCGACACGAACTCAATGTCCTCAAAGTTTCGCCTTTCGATTTTACATTAACGTCAGCATAAAAATACAGCTTGAATGATTGACTCGATTTTTGACCTGCATGCATTCAAATGAAAGCACAAATTTTTTGTCACTCATATTCAAAACCAGAGAAGTCCCATCCTATTTTTTTTCCAGACCTACACTTTTGTGTACTCACTAATACTTTTGATATGCCAATTACTGCTGAGGAGGACTTACTCAATGGCAGTTTTTTCTTCTTCTTGCTTTAAGTATTGCGGCTGGTATCGGCAGCGTTCATCAGTACCCGATACCTTAAAACAAGGCTGCTCCTACCCCATTACTGATATCTAGTATCTGTGCTCTGTCATTCCTACTTAAAACATTCGGTTGATGTCCCAAAAGTTTTGCGCTCTCGATTGTATTAACATAAAGTAATCTTGACAAACTCATTACATTGAAACATGGCAAAACATACCTCGATAAAACATATTATTTAATGCTTTAGCCTTGTTGCTTTTAACATGACGGTGACAACCGATTTGTTAATCATCATAAAGTGGATTCACGATGTCGGCATCAAGCGTCTTGACATTTTCATCGTATCCCATTTCACACGCTCGCACATTTTGGGTGTGTTCGAAAAATGTAGGAGTCATTTAAAGATGGATTTTCCTGGGATTATTTTTTACATTCAATGTATTTTCCGGTGTTTGTTTCCAGGATTATCCATGAGGACGGCTACTCAGAAGAAGAGTGCAAGCAGTACAGAGCGGTTGTGTACAGCAACACCATCCAATCCATCATGGCTATCATCAAAGCCATGGCCAACCTGAAGATTGACTACGAGGACGCTGGAAGGGCGGTAAGGCCAATCAATATAGTCGCCTTGTGGTATGGTTTTACAATGCAGTTGGCTAACTGGAATAGGACTACCCAACTGTAAATACCGGAGACCGGAGTAATGTGAAGCTGATAAGAGTGAGGCGTTAAATACATCTTTGGGGGGGGGGGGGGGCCCCCAATCGACTCTGCTCTGCCCAGCAATATCATCTCTTACGATCGCCATCAAAGCCGCTCTCTTGCCTTCATCTTTAACACCCGCATCATGTTCCGAGGATTTTGTGCGGCGGAATTTGCGCAGCGCGGATTCTCTCTCTCAAGGGAATTGTGACGGTCCCCACCAGGAAATCGAGTGTGAGCTGTAGATCCTTTCGAACGAGTCTCGCCGAGTGCTGCATATTCTGTCCCGCTGCGTGTTTCTGTACCGCTTCGAGAGACTGTAAAAAAAAAAAACAACCTTTCAACAGTTGCCCGCCCAGGGATGCAATGAAAGGATGTGGAAAATACATGAATAGCTCTCAACAGTAAAGAAAGATGCGGGAAAATAGTTTTGAGTGATAGAATGGCACTGTGTGAGATTCACACTCGCAATTGAGCATTGTCATTGGGGGGGGAAAAAAGGCTTCCTTTCCTTTATTCACCCTTGTCATCTTTAAGTGACATTTTGCTCGCAAAATGTTCATGAAAATGTTCACGCCTTATAATCCGATGCACCTTATATATGGTCAGTATTCTGATTTCTTGGATGTAATATTTGAAATGTTCTTTAAAGTGCTTTGTTATAGCTGCATTGGTTCTGAAAGCGCGAAACAAATAAAGCTGCATTGTATTGTATTCCCTTTAGCGGAGCTCCAATCTAGTGGCTGCGTATCCCAACCACTGCCACTATTGTAGCTTCTATTCTATGCGCCTTATAATGCGGTGCACCTTATATATGAAAACTGTTTTAAAATAGGCCATTCATTAAAGGTGCGCCTTATACTCCAAAGTGCCTTATAGTGTGGAAAATACGGTAAATCCGATTTGAGACAACAGTAGTTGCAGTGAGGTCCTCAACTCCCACAGGTCCCCCGACTACATTTGTATTCTTGAATTGAAAAGCATCATTAGTCCTGGTTGTGTGCTCGTATTGCTTCATTCAGGTTAATTGAGCTTCACTTCATCCCCATCCCAGAGAATGTCATCCTGCAATTCCTCAGCGATGATGCGATGTGTCTGATGTGTTTTTGTGTTGTCAGGACGACGCCCGGCAACTGTTTGCCCTGTCTGCAGCCGCAGAAGAGCAGGGCATCTTGCCGGACGACCTGTCGAATGTCATCCAGCGACTGTGGGCCGACGGCGGCGTGCAGAGCTGCTTCACACGAGCCCGCGAGTATCAGCTCAATGACTCCGCATCCTAGTGAGTGACCATTCCACCCAATCAGCTGTAGCTATACTAATTAACTAGTATAGCTATTTTAATTAACTAGGGGAGAGGCAGAGTACACTCTGGACTGGTCACCAGCCAATCACAGGACACATTTTGTCAAATAACCGTTCATATCCACATGCATGGACACTTCAGAGTCTTGTCAAGCATTTGGGAGGAAGCAGGAGCACACACACTCGGATAGGGAGAACAATGCGGGACCATATTTATACCGTATCGAATCATATTGAGACTTAATTAATTATCCTTAGAATGACCTTTGTGCTAAAATAAAAGTGAAGGAATTTGGGCTGATTTTATTCGGGTCACAAAATCGATTCAATGATATATTTTTGACGTATAGCTCTTGTGTGCACACCTTGGCCACCGGGAGGGGGCGGGGCAGGGCAGTTAAATACAGTCATGCAGAAACAAACAGTTTCACAACTAAGCCACTTTTCTGCAGGAGTATTTGTCATTTTTGCAGAGGATAAAGAATATATACCCCCGAGTAGCATATCTGGCGGCATGTTGTTGCCGCATCGTTTGTGTTTGCTGCTTAAAGCATTATGATGTCGCCGTATAAAATAATAATAAACTGATGGTAAATAAATTATTTTACACACACATTTCATTTGTTTGATATTTTTTATTAAATTTGTTCAATTTTATAGTTCAATTATACATATTTTTTTAAAGTTCTATTTGTTACATTAAACTAGATTTTTTTTTTTTTGGACTGTCTGTTCTGAAAATCAAATATTCGCCCGCCCCAGCTCTAAACCATATTTCACTGTCTGTTGTGTAATCGCTATAAGTAAATATGCACGCCTGCAATTGGGTCATAAATCTGAACCTGACTCTTGGGTTGTCAGTGTTCTGCCAACGTTGTTGCCCAGCCAGTTTGAGCTCCTTTCTCTTTTTCTCAGCCCTGTGTGAGGGAACACGTGGGGCTTTTAATTTGAAGGAACCTTTCTGTCCAACCCAGTGCACACCTCTCTCCACATGATGAATATTGAATCTTTTTTTTTTTTTTTCACCCCAGCTATTTGAACGACTTGGAGAGGATAGCCAAGCCTGATTATATCCCCACACAGCAAGATGTGCTTCGAACCCGAGTCAAGACCACGGGCATTGTGGAAACACACTTCACCTTTAAAGACCTGCACTTCAAGTAAGCCCTTTCGTCTACATAGTGCTACCAAGTCAGTCAGCCACTAACAAAACAATGTAGCGGCGTATGATGTTGCTGACAATACAGTACTGCCTTCAGCAAAGATTGTGTGCTCCAAGAAAAAAAAAAAAAAGGGATTTTCTGCCTGTATTAAATGTTGGACTTGGCCAGACTACTTATGAAACAGTTGTTAGCATGCCCTTACATGACTTGTATAAAAAAAAATAAGAGGTGTGTCTGGTTTGCAGTTACTGGACTCTTAGAATGGAAAGTTACATGAGTAATCCCACAATGTTACGTGCACACACAAAATCCCCGTTGGGTCATCTGCACTCAAGATGTTTTAATCCAGACACACAACCTCCATTCATGGGCCCACACAAGCACACAAGATGTTTTTTTTTCCCCCCTTCTTCTTTTGTGTGTCTAAATTAGAGGTTCTCAAAGTTTTTTGGGTCCTAAAAATATTTGTATCCCTGAATATATTTTCGAATAAAATGTATTGATTTAGCATGTTTGTTTTTAATTGGCATCATCTCCATATGTAGGTATGCGCTTTTTATTTATTTTGTAGACCCCATGATAAGCCTTGCAGACTCTGGGTGGGGTTAGGGACCCTATTTTAAGAGCCACTGATCTTAAAAAGGACAACCAGAATATTCGAAACCCCGGTCTGCGTGATTCAGAGCACACTGCAGCCATTTTCCACCACAATAAAAAAAAATATATAGATTGCTTGGTTGAAAACTTTACTGAAGTAGAAGAAGAAATGTGCCGATGGACCTAATATTGTGACCGGGTGGCTGTATCATCATTCCACATAAATGACATCAGCACACTGTGCAGAGGAGAACACCAATGAATACATTTAGTCTGTATTTGCATGGGTAATAATTAAACCTCATCATTCTGTCTGGATGTGTTAGTTTGGAGCGGGGGATATGAAGCAGGTCCACGCAATGTGCCTGTTTGATCTTGGCTGAGTACCCATGCACACACAAACACGCAGCTGTGCAGAAGCTGAGCAACTCCAGTAGAAAGCTTTTCCCAAAGTGTGTCAGTGTTATAATGAGGTGCGCTGACTCGGGCCGCGCAGCTTGTCTCTCGCGAAACCCAACTGCGCCAGTGAAAACGACTCACCTTGAACGTCGCGTCATCAAACACCGGCCTGCTTTAATAGCAGGAAAAGCTCCGCGTGAGCACCCTGCATGCGCACACCTCCACGAATAAGTCACATGGGTTGAAAAATGTACGGCCACGGCTTGTTTTTGAATTGTTTTTTCTAAAGCAGCTGCTCAGAAAAGACCAGGATGTGTTGACAAGTCTGCTGAGGGATAATATATAAGCTGTGTTGTGTGTCTCCTGCACTCATGCCATCCTGCCCCCCCCCCCAAAAAAAAACACTGAAAGGTTGCACGTGTTTCTTGTGTGTTTACAGGATGTTTGATGTCGGAGGCCAACGCTCCGAAAGGAAGAAGTGGATCCACTGTTTCGAGGGAGTTACCGCCATCATTTTCTGTGTGGCCATGAGTGCTTATGACTTGGTCCTGGCTGAGGATGAAGAGATGGTGAGAACTGTGCAAATTATGTTCTAAAAACACGAATAATGGGAATTATGTTATTTGGTAGGATCGAATAATCGGCTCATGTTCAAATTTTCCACTGCAGATATGTGATTAGCTATTCTCAAATTCACGGATGATGGGATTTTGTGCCATCTAATAAAAACATTCCTTCAGTTTTTATACAACTTGAGGCATATACTTCCTGAAAATATTTGCCACCTTCCAAGTTGTACCAAATTGACTCTACTGTCAAGGTAATGTTTGAACAGATTTGTTCTCATATTTTCAACTTCTGACCCCTAAAAAAAGTCTTTGAAACGTGGCTCCCCTTTAACTCGTGCGCACCCCCCCCTCCCCCAGAACCGCATGCACGAGAGCATGAAGCTGTTTGACTCCATCTGCAACAACAAGTGGTTCACCGAGACATCCATCATCCTCTTCCTCAACAAGAAGGACCTGTTTCAGGAGAAGATCGCCCAGAGCCCGCTGACCATCTGCTTCCCGGAGTACACCGGTATGGCAACACAAGTACGCCTGCATGGAGGGTGTTCCTAATATTTGGGTTCGCTCCATAACAGGCACAAAATAATAAGCAGCTTTCAGTACGAGGCAGTGAAGTTCGACACCACTGCAAATTACACCCAAGATAGATTTTTTTTTTAATTTATTATTATTATTTTTTTACAATTGTGGTCATTCGCTTGTGTGATGTCGACGCGTCATTCTCTTCGACGCCCCTTCCAGGCCCCAACAAGTATGAGGAGGCGCAGGCGTACATCCAGACTAAATTCGAGGACCTGAACAAGAAGAAGGACACCAAGGAGATCTACCCGCACTTCACGTGCGCCACAGACACCAAGAACGTGCAGTTCGTGTTTGACGCCGTCACTGACGTCATCATCAAGAACAACCTGAAGGACTGCGGCCTCTTCTGAGAGCAGGTGAGCGTCGGGGGCAAGAGCCGCCCGCGCGCTCTCGTGTCGTAGTCAGCAGAATCACGTCACTTGCTGTTTGCGTGTGTCTTTCCAGAGGATCTCCCGTGGAACGAAAGGCGCATCCTGAACGACTGCACTGGCCAGCCACCATCTCGCTTTTCCTTCGGCAAGAGACTGCCAAGCCCAGCAGCCTTGCAAGCGCGTCCACTTGATGTTAACTCTCTTTGGGCTACGACCACAAAATCAGCATCTATTCGTGTTTATCTTCTATTCTTCTTCAACTTGTTTTTTTTTTAATATATATATAATTGCTTTCATTTTACTTATAGCGAGTCTCGTTATTCAGTTTTTAATCACGCCAAGCTTATTTTTAAAGAGATGAAGCACACGCATGGACTCGAGATCTGACTTATATCAGGATTGTTTTTTTGTTTGTTTTGTTTTTTTTTTCTGTCCATGTTGATAACGTTTACATAGGTTCATCATCATTTATAGCTTGTATTGTTCTGCATGACTCAACATGATGGCTATTAACTCTTATTACTTATCTGCACAAATGATCTAACATTCCGACAGAATAAAAAGTATTAATAAAAGCCAGACGAGACGGCCACATTCTTACTGATTTTAAAACTTGTGTAGCTAAATAACTTTCCTTCACGTTTTATACTGTCGTAGCCGCTCCATTGTTTGTCACATCGCTCGTGTGTGTGCTTGTGTCTTGACTTCTGTTTACAACTTTTTTTTTCACCTACCCCATTCCCTCCCATTTTTCTGCCTTGCATCTATGAATATATAGTGATTATTAATGAGAGACAAAAATCTAATTCCAGAAAAAATTGAGTTTTTTTTCTTTCTTTTGGTTATTAAAATTGTTTTAAAGTCAATATGATTTAATTTAAATAAAAGTAGAGATCACTTGACCCCTCGTGCATTGTCTTTCCCCCTGCTATATATATATCAGTGGTTCTTAACCTGGGTTCGATCGAACCCCAGGGGTTCGGTGAATCGGTCTCAGGGGGTCAACGGAGCCTCTGCCATGGAGGGTGAACACACGACGTAACAGGTCAAATAGTTATAACATCCCCGCTGGCTGCAGATGATTACATTGCTTGTCCAATCAGTGCTGTGGGAAATTTGGTTCACTTAGCAGTCAGCGTGTAACTGTCGTGATAGTACGTCGTACAATTAAAATTTTATATACACACATATATATATATATATATATATATATATACACTTGACATTTTATTTACTTTTTTCTGTTTTTAATAAATGCGTCTTTTTTTATATTTGTAAAAAATATATTTATTTTTCACTAATGAAGGGTGCATATTAACTGGTTGGGTTCGGTACCTCTAAGAAGGTTAAGAGCCACTGATATACACACACACACACACTCACACACAGTAATTGGTTTTCATGGTTGCTTATCTGTCTTATCTGATTTATACAAATTGCATGGTACTCGTGCTAGCATGACAGTTGCGAATGAATATTCGACAGTCGTTTCAGGTTAATTTGATTTGAGAAGAAAATTGTATTAGAATAGGACATTGAGCTGATAAATATGGATATAAAAAGTTTACACACGCCTGATTAGATGCACTGGAACATGGAGTGAACACAAACTTGTCTCCCAAGCGTCACTCATCCTTTGGGAGACATTACACTGGCTTACCTGGACTGCCACCTTGTGGACATGAGAAGGACTTCACCTACCTCTGCCAAGCAATGACGGTGGCGGTGCGCAACCTTTTGAGGTCAAAGACATTTTTTTCGAGGGACTCGATATTAATCAACACCGCTTAGGCAAAACTTCTATGTGTACTTCTAAATAACATAAGAATTAAAATATTAGCTTTTGAGATAAACGTTAAAGTACCTCGTCAATATTTGTTTAGAATTGGTTTCCCAAGTTTCAGTCGTCGCAAGAATATGTAGAGCTGAAAAAGATTTTACATAGTATGTTTTCAAAGTTTAACGAGGGAAGAAAGTTACATTTGACGTAACAGACAATCGAATCCAGCGGACGACACCTTCCCCCAACTCATTTGTAAAATCGAGGCTCCGCTGTAGTTAATTAGATTGCTTTCAATTATGGGTATCCAAAGTCCGGACCATTGCTTGATTGTTTTCGACCCATGGTAAATCCTAAAATTAAGATCAATCCACATGAGAACACGATGAAGAAAGATTAGAACCACATTTAAAAAGTAAAACCACGAAAGAGTGTGAGAAAATTGCCCTGTGACAAGCTATCACATTCTGTGACATAAGTGGAACACAAATGCTTTCTTTTTAGATATATTTATCTGCACTGCATCTTGACCTGCGTTGGATTGCTTTTAGATGTGAAGAATGTTAGTTTTCCACTTCGGTGGGAAGATCAGGACACCCCTGGACTAAAAAAATTTTTTTTTTTTTTTTTTATTGATGCAAAAGAAATTTTCCTCAAATTTGGAATGAACGATGTAAAAACGTGCATCATATATATATATATACACACACAAACACATACATTTTACCGAAAGTATTTGCTCACCCATTCAAATGACCAGAATCAGGTGTCCGAATCACTTGGCTTGGCCACAGGTGTGTAAAATCAAGCACCTAGGTCTGCAGACTGTTTTGACAAACGTTTGTGAAAGAATGGATCGCTCTCAGGAGTTCAGTGAATCCCAGCATGGAACTGTCAGAGGATCCCAACTGTGCAAGAAATCCAGTTGTGAAATTTCCTCGCTCGTAAATATATTCCACAGTCAACTGTCAGCTTTATTACAAAAGAATGGAAGAGTTTGGGAACAACAGCCACTCAGCCACGAAGTGGTAGGCCATATAAACTGACGCAGTCGGGTCAGCGGATGCTGAGGCGCATAGTGCAAAGAGGTCGCCGACTTTCTGCACAGTTAATTGCTCAAGAGCTCCAAACTTCATGTGGCTTTCGGATTAGCCTCAGTACAGTGCGCGGAGAGCTTCATGAAATGAGTTTCCATGGCAGAGCAGCTGCATCCAAGCCATACATTTCGGACTGCATTGTGCCAAGTGTGAAATGTGGTGGAGGAGAAATTATGGTGTGGGTTTTTTTATTTTTATTTTTTTTAAAGTTTGGCTTGGCAACTTAATTCCAGTGAAAGGAACTTTGAATGCTTCGGATACCAAATCGTTTTGGATAATTCCAGGTGAGCAAATACTTTTGGTAATACTGTGTGTGTGTGCGTGTGCGTGTGTGTGTGTGTGTGTATGAAAACTAAATCTAAAGTGATTTCTGCCTGTCAAAAATGTATGATGGTATGAATAATGTGGGGTTTAAATGTTGATGAATCAAATGCTCCATTACAAAGATGAATATTAGATAGTTAAAGTGGCTTCAGGAGCTGATTATTGCATAAAGTGTCCAAGTTGTGGTCTCTTTAAAAATGGAGGCCTTGTTTAGGTAGGACAACGCTGATGGCCTCTGCGTGGGGACAGCCGTTGCAATGTAAATGGGGGTTGTTTGGTGCCATTTGCAGGTAAATGCAACACAAAGGGGCTCGTTTTGGTGAGGGTCAAAGGGAATGCAGATGTGTGGCAGGTTCAGACATGTGACCATGATCTTCATGCTAATGTTGTACTTGAACAGCGGCCATCACAGACACTCCAGCACAAGTGCTCCTATCACATCAGCATAAAGGTTCAATCGGTGAATAGCCTGCGAACAACAATTAGGGATCAACAGAAAGGTGCAGATTGAAGCATTTTACCCTTGAATGACAATGAACCAGCACCGCTGCAACAAGCGCTTCATTTAGGAAGCGTTTGGACAAAAACAGCGGGGCAGGTCATGCTTTTTTTTTTTTTTTTTAACAATCTCATGGTAGCAAATGTATAAAAATTGTTGTCTGAAACAAATGCCTTTGGACATCACTACAATAAGTTTGACATACACAAACAATACGAAGCCGTTAAATGCTCTCCCACTAGATGGCAGAAGGTTAACCCGTGTATCCTCCTGCTGCCATCCATCCAAGGCACATCCACACACACAGACAAATATATATATATATATATATATATATATATATATGTGTGTGTGTGTGTGTGTTCAATTAAGGTAGGAGGGAAATTTTGGAGTACAGATGAGCAGACCAGGCGCACAGTTCAAATGTTTTGGGTTCAACTCTTGGCCCTTTGCATGGATTGATCAACTGCAGCCATTTTTTGTAGATTGCAATACACCAGGAGGTCAAAAGCATGAGGGCAAGAGACATACCTGCCAATATAATGTGTCGACTCCAACGACCAGTTTCTCAAATGGGGAAATTCTAATTTGTCATTTTGACATGACACACAGTGCAATGATTGACTGGGTTACGTATGATGTGAACATTTTGCACACTGGGGCTCTTTCATGAGGTACACCTGCAAAATTGAATACAGTGAAACAATTTTGTCATCAACAAAATCACAACTGTATTTGAAATATCTATATATTTTTGATTTGCTTTTGAAAAAATTTCATAGGGGTATTTAATTTTATGATAAATGTAATTTTATTCTTGATATTGCTCTTGAATTGAAGTCGTACTATGGTATTCGAAACACACCGTTGCTTTCCCTCTTTCTTTCTCTCTACATCTATGCAACATTGTAAATCACATTGAATCATACATTGCCAAACATTTGAGTAAGGCCAAATGATTAAAAGCTTTGAAAGACGCAGAAAAGAAACTGCAGTGTTCACTTGCGTCACTGATGGCGAGAAGCACAGTCAAATATTTCCCTGCTTCATATCCGTCGCAAAACAACAGTTTTATGGTAAAATGTTATTTTGGACGGGATTTCCCTTTCAAAATTTGATTGGTGGATGCTTTCGAAATCGGATTGAGACTCTCTCAAGGCGCAACAAAGAGCTTCGCGCTCGCTGCTCTCCGATTGGCCGATTTGCGAACGGGACTCGCCGATTGGCCGCTCGATTTTGTCGGTCTCTGATTGGCTGTTTGTCGCATCTACCCGCAAAGACCCAAAACAGACAGGACGTGAAACCTTCACGCACATCAGCACATCTGCACTCTGCAGAGCAGCTGGAGGCGACACCGGCACTCAGGACTCTCCTTTTACGCAGCTACATGGCACTATTTTTTGTTCCGCTTCGACTCCAGCAGAAGAAGGTGCTCCTGTTTTAAACTGCACCGTCGTTTGTGTTCTCCTACTAAAAGCGGAGGAAACGATATGGTAAGTTTTCTTCAACTCTTTATATCAACATTCCTGTGTAGTGCTGCTCACCAATGTACTTTATTTGTTGTTGTTTTTTTTTAATGTTCCATTTATGGTTTTTTTTCCATTTTAAGTTTAATATCTCATTATCATGTCATCAACACAGACCGCCGAATAGTTTTCCACACTTTTTTGGCCCAGTATTGCATCCCCAGTCAACCTCCGTTCTCCCTCACACACACAGCATCACATGATCCCTCCTTATGCATTTGAAATGTGAGGCACCCACAACATTCCAACCAATCAGAAATGTGTCCCAGGGAGAAAACTTTGATATTAAATTGCCCTCATTTGTCACTGGTGACTTTCTTAAAGACACAGGATCCTTTTTTTGGGAGCTAAATTAAGATCCACCAGAGTCCCGTTTGATATGCTGCAGCTGTTTTCACTTTGGAGACATGCACACTGGTTAGAAATGAGTGCACATGCCTGGATTTCCCCCTTGAATCATTCCAGATTCAAAGTCAATGAACGGGCATTGGCTTTACCTTGAATGATACCGTCACGGACCTTCACTTTAATAATGAAGATGAGCAATTGTAGGCTTGAAGGCGGACTGTGTTACGCGAGCAGCCCCTCAGTTAAAAATGTTGAAACTTTCCAGACTACTTCAATAGGTCCAATTAGGCCAATGCAACTGACCGTTTATAGAACTAGAAATCCTGTTGCACCAAGAACTTGGTAAAGCTGCCTCAGTCTCACATGGTTTTAATAGAAACAATCTGTTGCAGAGGCATTCTGTCACCAAGTCACATTTTCAGTGCAATAATAGCCGAATAATCCACCATGATTTTGAAAAAGAGTGGCATATATCATTTACTGCACCTTGAACCCATTTCTATTGAATTGCATTTACTGGTTCATGAGCAGATTGAACTCTGACATAGTGCTATCGGAAAAACTGATTAATTGGTTGCACCCATTTAACAACACGAAATGAATGTTGTCTCATTGGATTAAAATGGAAAAAAAAAACAGTCTTTCCTTTTGACCACTGTTTAAAGATGCCTTTTGTCACTCCTTAGCTGTGCCTCCGAGAGTCCGGCGACTGTTTGAGGGAGCACATGCACTACATGATGAGATCCCTTCAGGACCTGAAGCATCTGAGAAGGACGTGTCCCGCAACCTGCAGAAACACTCGCCCTCCCAGCACCAACCAGCTCCCCACCGTTGCCCTCAGCGGCCCGTCCGCTGTGCCTCTGTCCTGCCGGCCCAGAGACCAGCGCGCCCGTCTCAGGATATCCAGCGCCAGCACAGCCAGTACCTACGACTCGGCCTGCTGCCTGGCCACCCCTCTGGAGGAAGAGGAGGACGATGACGAAGACGACGGCTGCAGCAGTCGCCTCGGCCTCAACTCGCCGAGCCGCCACCAAAGTTTGGACTTTGACTCCCG